TATATATATATATATATATATATATATATATATATATATATATATATATATATATATATATATATATATATATATATATATATATATATATATATATATATATATATATATATATATATATATATATATATATATATATATATATATATATATATATATATATATATATATATATATATATATATATATATATATATCTATCTATATATATATATATATATATATATATATATATATATATATATATATATATATATATATATATATATATATATATATATATATATATATATATATATATATATATATATATATATATATATATATATATATATATATATATATATATATATATATATATATATATATATATATATATATATAAATATATGAGCGCTGGTCTGTGGATATAATTCAACAACAATGCATTAAACTGACTGAACGTAACAGCAAGATATTTCTGATGTTATAATGAATGATATAGTGAATGATCCAACTCATTTTTTGTTTTCACATTATGAACTGCTTCCTTCTGGTAGAAGATATGGAGTCCCAAAGTGTAAGTTAAACCATTATAAGAAATCCTTTGTACCTGTTTTAATGTTTTATCTTAATTAGCATTATAAATTTTGTTACTGCTGTAATTTGTATTGTTTTTATTGTTTGTTTTTATGGAATGTCTGCAGCAATATGGTGATGCCCATAACAAATTTCCTGTCAAGGACAATAAAGTTTACTACTACTACTACTACTCATCTTCTGATGGCTACTTCCAGCAGGATAACACATCATCTCATAAAGTGTGAATCATCTCCAAATGGTTTCTTGAACATGACAGTGAGTTCACTGCACTCAAATGGCCTCCACAGTCACCAGATCTCAATCCAATAGAGCACTTTTGGGATGTGGTGGAAAGGGAGATTCGCATGTGCAGCCGACAAATCTGCAGCAACTGCGTGATGCTATCATGTCAATATGGAGCAAAATCTCTGAGGAATTTTCCAGTACCTTGTTGAATCTCTGCCATGATGGATTAAGGCAGTTCTGAAGGCAAAAGGACGTCCGACACCGTCATCGTAAGGTGTACCTAATAAAGTGGCCGGTGAATGTACATAAATATATTCTCCCTTGTGTGGTTTCAGACCTTTATGAGTTTCTTTTTTCTGTCCTGTACACAAAAGAAGATATATATGAAAACCACTGACTTCCAGAGTAGAAATACAATGGTTACAGGTTTCCAGCATTTTTCAAAATATCTTCTTTTGTGTTCAACAGAAGAAAGAAAGGGAAAAAGGGTTTAAACAAGTGAAGGGTGAGTAAATGGTGACAGGTTGTTCATTTTGGGGTAAACTGTCCCTTTAAAAGCTGCTTTATGTAAAGGAGTAAACACTTCAGTTGTCCACTAGCTGGAGCTCTCCGCCCACTAATGCTAGGACTGCAGTATCAAGCTAGGGTTTAATGCATACTGCAGACACTAGTGGTTGAAAAAAAAAACACAAGAGATGTTAAATAAATGAAGAAAAAAAAAAAAATATATATATATATATATATATATATATATATATATATAAGTATATATATATAAGTATATATATATGATGAGATGATATATATATATATATATATACTTCTTATATATATATATTAGTGCTGTCAATCAATAAAAAAATTAACTAATTAATCGCACCTTTTTTAAAAAATTAATCGTGATTAATCGCATTTAAATACTGACAGTTTGTTGACAGTAAGTTTGTTTAACTTGTAACACAGATTTCTTCACGTAAACAACATACCCACAATAAACCATCAAGATCCTGGCTTGACAGCCATATTTATTACAGAAATTAAAACACAGGCATGTTAATGACATTTAAATTTCAAAACAATCAATGCCAATAAAGAAAACATTGATTTCCATGTTGGATTCTAAGTGGACTGCAAAAAAAAGCCAAAATACAGGAATTGCAGGTATGGAAAATGAAAAAAATATAATAATAAACTATAGAATACAAACTGTTGCAGTCATTGTAAAGTTTTTTGCTGTGAGTTGAGCATATGCTTTCGTTGTGTTTAATGAGAAAACACGCTAAACGGAGGGCTCATGCTGAAAGGCAGAGTAATGCTCTGTCTTTGACAGCTCGCGACTTCACCAGAGACTTTCTGAGTACATCCACATAAGACACCAATACTCCAATTTTAATATGATTAAGATTATACTCTTATTACAATTCTACCGTGTAGCCTAAGCAGTGATTTTACTACCTTAAAGGAACACCGAGTCACGAAATGCGAAATATATACATAAATATATATTATTCATTCATTAATTCATTTTCTTGTTGGCTAAGTCCCTTTATTACTCCGGGTGTGTGTGTATATATATATATATATATATATATATATATATATATATATATATATATATATATATATATATATATATATATATATATATATATATATATATATATATATATATATATATATATATATATATATATATATATATATATATATATATATATATATATATATATATATATATATATATATATATATATATATATATATATATATATATACACATACATATATATATATACATATATATATATCTACATCTATATATACATATATATATATACATAC